GCCGGACCCAGCGACACATGACATGGAGATCGTCCGGACAGTGGAGTCGCTATGCGACCGATGGCTGCACTGTCCCAGAGAGGGGGAACGGGAAGAGTTAGCCCGCCAAGTAGGGGTGTGCGTGTCCGTGTTCCCCTGGTTATGGGAGACGCTGCACCCCCTCGTCAGCGACTTTCTCGTTTCCACTCTTCGACTCCGCCCGCAGCAGCAGCGGCCCGGCGAGCGTGAGTCGTCACCAGAGCCATGCTGTTGCGGTGTTACCCCGCTACCTCATGAACCAGTGGCAGTCAGAGTCGGAACGGTGAGGCTCACCACCGACACACACACTTCATCGGCTTCCGCATCTTCGCCACCGCCTGTCTGCACGGAGATGCCCGAGGCTACTGACTTCGGTGAGGAGGAGCGGCAGCAGGTGTTGCGGGCGTATCGGGAGGACGAGCTACGCTGGAAGCCCTGGCTTATCTCCGAGGAGGAGCTTCTGCCAGCCGTCCCGCCTCGGACCGGCCGCCCGTCCTCGCCGCCTCGATCGGACTACACGTCTCCCGCTTCTTATCTGGCGCGGATGTGGTCGGAAGACGAGGGGCCGCTCGCCACAGAAATCCAAGTTCCGTCCGCGTCCACTTCAAGACGGAAGCGACGTTCACGTCACCGTCGCTCATCGCTACGGCATGTGTCACCCTCCTCTGAGCTACACGAGGAAGCTGTGGGGGGCATGGATTCCGACCTCGAGGGGCGGCAGCGCGCCGCATGCGCGCAACTGCAGGAGGAGCTACGGGAGGAGCCATGGCTCGCTCCTCACTAGGGTGAGATCTTCCGCGGGACACGCCTAGCCCTTGGGGGCCCCCGAAGTTGCCTGGAGCTCCCGCCTGCCGCCCCGCCAACACTCGCCGCCTCAGCCTCTGCGACGCCGCAAGAGGCTCCACTTTCCACGTCAACGGGACCCACGGCCAAGAAGAAACGGCGTTCGCGTCGCCACAGCATCGCCCGACGCTCGGAGGTTAGTGACGATGTTTTGTGTCCACCTAATCGCTCTGGATGTACTGAGAGCGAGGGGCTCGGAGGGACAATAAATGTCTCAGAAATGAAGACCCCGTGTACCGGTACTGTTAACTCTGTCACCCCCCCAGGCACCGTGTCACAGTCTGTTTTCTCGGAGGCCAGTGAAGAAGCTGTCTTTCCCATGCCTCTGACTACTGATATCGAAGGTGTTACTCTCGTGCCTACGTTTTGTATTGACAATAAAGCTAAGTTTTCTGGTGTTGGGCATGCTGTTTTTGGGGACGCCACACTGCCCTCACAGTACTGTGAACCTGACACCACCAAACCGGCCATAGGCACTTCGGTTTTGGGGATCAACCCGTGCGATGTTCTGTTAAACCCTGTTATTACGAGTGTGCAGGCTGAGGGGGAGGTTAGGGAGATAGAGGATAGAGAAGACGCTGCACACCCAGGAAATGCGTCTTTCGCTAAGGAGGCTTCTTTTAAGACTGTTACAGCATCTGGAGCCTTTTCGAAGACTGTGTCTCAGCCCCTGCTATCCATTGACTATAAATCACGTGAGAAAACGTCTGATCTGACTAGTAATAAGACTGTATTCCCTTTGACTAGCACCCACCTTTTGGGGTCTTTTTTCCCTGTTCCCAAGCCGAATAATGAATGTTCTGCTTATGTAACTAACCCAGCGCAAGAAGGAACGTCTGGTGTTGATCGGGAAATTGTATGTTATGTTCCGGCGCTAATCGGGCCCCAGGTTCCTCACTCTGCTGATGATTTGACCAGAGTGAGTGCTTTGGGGTCCGACATCAGCAACCGCTCTTCTGCCCCAGTCCGCCGGGGCTGGACGAGTATTAAGGGCCTGCCGGGTTTTGATTTCTGTTAATACTAAAGTGAAGGTCTGTTTATGTTGTGCTTTCCCCTTATCTAATGACAAGGCTGTATTTTGTGTTTCCAAGACTGTCGGGGGGGGGACGCCACGCTAATCATCACAAACCTGCTAGCCCTGGGCCAGGACCTTTTGACTGCTGTTAATGAACTGGCCGATCTAAGGACACTTCAGCCGGATTGCTCAGAGCCAGTCCACTATGTTTTCTATGCCACGCCAAGTCCATGTGCATCCCACTCACTAGCTTTCTACAGCCGCCTAGTGTGTGGGGCTGAACCCCTCCTTAACTCAGTCTCGCCAACAGGGCTCTTAGACTCCAGTAAGTGTAGTTGTCTTCCATGTGACTGCCAAATTATTGTGTTCAAATCTTCTGCACCTAGTCCTGGTTGTGTTATGTGGGTTCATGCATCGAGTCTTGGCCTTAAGAGTCATGCTTCCTGGGACAACATAACTGTCACTTGTGTCACTGAGCCACCTTGCTTCTGGTCTGAAATATTGTTTGAATCGTGCTCCAAGACAGAAGGAGTGTTTAGCTCCCCAAGAAGGGCAACTAGGGACAATTCAGACTGTGTTAAGGACTTAGAGACATCGAGGTCCTTGTCTGTCATTGCTCCTCTGCTTACATCTGCCAAGGACAGTGTCCGGAGCTTCGTGCTCACTCCCAGGGTGGCTGTGGCGTTACCTGACTTCTCCCCTGCGTCTGATCTCCAGGTAGAGGCAGTGGACACCCAGCCAGCACCTGAGCTAGCTCCCGCCACCAGGGTCAGGGCAGCCGGAGGTCAGCCATATCCTGCGTTTAAACCCCAGGCGGGAATGGCTGCCGTCCGGTTTGTTCCTACACCCAGGTGGGTTCCCAAAGTTATGCCAGTCAGTACACAGCTGAGCTCCGCACCCAGCCTCGGCGCTCAGGTGGGAGCGGTTGTCGCTCTGCAGGCGCCTGCACCGGCTCATGTTTCCATTGGAGGCTCAAGAGAGTCATCGCCACCACGACAGCCTCCTGCTCTGCTCCCTGTCCAGGTGGCAGCCCTGCTCCCGGTCCAGCCAGGGGCCTCCTTAACTGTTCACCCTGCGCCTGCTGCTGGATGCCCGGGTGTGCCTATCCGGCATCCTGCAGCATCCACACCACTTCACGTCATGCCAGCTGGAGGGCCCGAGGAGCCCCTCCGGCCTCATGTCTCGTCAGCTGGAGGGTCCGAGGGGCCCGTTCAGCCTCGTGTCTCCGCTGGAGGGTCCGAGGGGCCCGTTCAGCCTCGTATCTCCGCTGGAGGGTCCGAGGGGCCCGTTCAGCCTCATGTCTCAGCTGGAGGGCCCGAGGAGCCCGTCCAGCACCATGCCATGTCGGCTGGGGGGCCCGAGCCGCCCGTCCAGCCATCGTCTGCTGCAGCCCCAGCCTGTGCTTTGTCTGCTGCAGCCTCAGAGCCTTCGTCTGCTGCAGCCTCAGAGCCTTCGTCTGCTGCAGCCTCAGAGCCTTTGTCTGCTGCA